ACACACACACACACACACACACACACACACACACACACACACACACTCACAGAGGGCCCGGTGTAAAATAGACACACTCACACTCACTCACAGAGGGCCCGGTGTAACACAGACACACACAAACACACACACACACACACAGAGGGGCCTGGTGTAACACACACACACACATACACACATACACACACACAGAGGTGCCAGTGTAACACAGACACACACACACACAGACACACACACACACACACACAGAGGTGCCAGTGTAACACAGACACACACGCACGGCCCGGTGTAACAGAGACACACACACAGACGGCCCGGTGTAACACAGACGCACACACACGGCCCGGTGTAACACAGACACAGACACACACACACTGGGCCCAGTGTAACACAGACACACACACAGAGGTCCTGGTGTAACACAGACAGACAGACAGACACACACACACACACACACACACACACACACACAGGGCCCGATGTGACACAGACACACACGCAGGCTGTAAGCTGCAGTACCTGTTTGGTCCTGCGAGGTGCTGGGCTGCTCGGAGCACTGTTCCTGGGCTGATTCAGGAACTGAGAGGTTTTCAGAAGATCCTGTGGCCTATCAAAAAGCTCAGCTTTGAGCAGTGGGAACCCATCATAGCTACAAAGACAAAGAAGATGCCATCAAACCACCTGTGCCAGTCATACCTTATCATTAGCCAATGAGGCAGCCAAAAAGAGCCATTCAGCCCATCATCCCATGTTAGAATGTAACGCAGTAAATCAGAGTGAGACTCAATTCTCTCATCACTGTTACATATAGAAAGATGCAGGCAGCTTATCTGGGCTGGGTTATTCCTCACAGAAATTCAAAGAGCCCACCATCTTTTCTGAAACGTACCTGTGATTGATGTTGCATGGTCCCCCTGAGCTCAAGGTACCACGATCAATTCTCTCAAAAGCCCCTTCCACTCCACCCTGGCAGGGTCTGTCAATGTTCCTGCAGGAAGCAACTGCTCCACTTGAGCAAGTCTCAACAGCGCTCAGAGGAAGATCGACTGTGGAAAAATCACAGTTGAGCCCAACGCTGTCCCTTCACCACTCCCACTGATGGCACTGTGTGGCATACAGTCTCTGGTGAGTCACAGCACAGGGGCTAAGCTGCACGGACCCTGGGGCCAGTATAATAACACTCACTGGTAACAGAAAACCAACCCTGCTCAACACCTTTAGGAGGGGAGGGCAGGCAACCGAGACGGTGAGATCCCAGGGTGAGTGGGGGAGTTATTTTGAGCAGGTGGTGGGGCAGACCTGTACAAGCGAGGGAGTTCCTTGCCGTCCGGAGTCTGGGGAACCTCGGGTGGCATGATGAAAACGGTGTGCTCGCTCCGCTGCGATTCATCCAACTCGATCAGACGCACCATGTCCAATTTCTCCACATCCACCTGCAAACGGGAAGCAGCAACACTCAGCATTTACTCTCACCTCTCAGGCAAAGGCAGTGTCCTCACGCAGTGACTGGCACAGCAAGCGTGCAAAGCAACATCCCGGCAACGAACAACCCCCTCGCCACCCCCCCAATGTCACATTATCCCACTTGGAAAAGCACACTGCCTAAAGATCCTCTTTTCATTTCTCTGTATTTTTGATTGTGGACTGAAATGAGAACGGTTTTAAAACCAAGTAAACTGACATTCATTGTAACACTGGTCACACAACTGCTGGTCCCAGCAGTGTTGGAATGTAGTCTGCAGATGAACTAGCACCAAGCGGTTGTGTCCAAATGTGAGGTTTTGTCTGGGAGCAAACTGCTGATTGCTCTGTGGGCGAGCGACCAGTTATTGATGACAAAGGTTTTTAGCCCAGAAACAAAGGAGCGATTGGTTCTCGGGGAGCTGAACAGCTAGGGGCTGGGAACAAGATACAAAGAAGCCCCATCACCAACTCAGGAGCTTGCTCTCTCTGTTCCCTGCAGTAAAAGCCACATCAAACCCGAAGAGAAGCAGTTTCGTCGTTTATCCAGTAGTTGTAGTAATCGGTGACTTGGTAAGTCAGAGATGTTTTGGAAGTGAAGCAGCCACCCTGTGCTTTTTACAAACCAGTGAAAGCATCTGGAGACACAAGATGGAGAATCCGCAATGTGACCAGCACAAGAATCATCTCAGCAGACCCTGCGAACAGAGAGCACTGTTTCCCCAGGTTTCCCTCCATCCATAACACCAATATTTTTTCCTGTGCGTGGCTCTGTATGTGTGTGTGCGTGAAAGCATGTAGAAGTGTATAAGGGCATTGCTGTTTTAATTAGTAGAGATAATTGTTGACAGGTCACAATTGTTTACTAGTGGTGAGAGCCCGGTTCCTTGTAACAATTAGCAATTTCTGCTAAGTATGGAAATCTGTTTTGTTTTTGATGTCAGCCTAGGTCTAAAAGATGGGGAAATTGGGGAATTCTGCATACTTTTTAAAATCTTTAACTTCTGTGACAACTCCGGGAAAAGTGGTGCTCAGTTTCTAGAGCACTCCCCCAAGTGAGGGCTGATAGCAGAGGTCATCACAGAAGCTAAGATTTTATCAAATCACTCCCTCAATTTGCTGACTGACAGACTCAGGGCAACAGTAAACACTGAGGTTTTGATACTTCCCAAGAAACTATTATTTATTAAAAATAAATCAATGTTAGCCACAGGCAGACAACATATGAATGACCAATGTACAACTCCTGCCCTTTCTTAAACCCCAACGCACACACATGCAGAAAGACACAGACAAAAACATCTATTTTATGGATGAGGGATATACTTGAACACAATGAGATGTCCTTTTGATCTCCAATCTTTGTCTTCTTGCCAAGTTCCCCAGTCTTTACTGCAGACGCAAGGCCGTCGCCACACTAATTATCTCAGCGGTGAGAGATGGCAGCTTATAGGAATATTACTAAATTGGAAAGGGCGCAGAAAAAATTTACAGGGATGTTACTGGGACTAGAGGACTTGAATTATAAGGAGAGGCTGCGACTTTTTTCCCCTGGAGTGTTGGAGGCTGAGGGGTGACCTTATAGAGGTTTATAAAATCATGAGGGGCATGGATAGGGTGAATAGACAAGGTCTTTTCTCCAGGGTGGGGAAGTTCAAAACTAGAGAGGCATAGGTTTAAGGCGAGAGGAGTAAGATTTAAAAGGGACCTGAGGGGCAACTTTTTCACGCAGAGGGTGGTGTGTGTATGGAACGAGCTGCCAGAGGAAGTGGTGGAGGCTGGTACAGTTACAATAATTTAAAAGGCATCTGGATGGGTACATGGATAGGAACAGTTTAGAGGGATATGGGCCAAATGCAGGCAAATGGGACTAGTTTAGCTTGGGAAACCTGGTCGGCAGGAACAGGTTGGGCTGAAGGGTCTGTTTCTGGGCTGTACGACACTGACTCTAAATGTTAGCTGTCACCTAACTGCACTCCCTACCCCCAAAACTCCAGTGCCACGGAGCCACACCCTCACTACTCCAGCTAGCAGACAACATCAATACAACTCTCAGAGAGCTCCATGCCATGAGGTTTAGAAGCTTCCACATCTTCGGCCAAGGGTTCCTTGGATTTCCAGCTGCATCCATTCCAGCTCCATTTTGGCCCATAGCCCAAAACTATCGATTTAAAAAAACTGACGTGGTTGTAAAGAGGCTGCGGATGGTGGTTGCTGCAGGGGAAAGGATTTGTGGTCTGGCATAACACAGAAGGTAAGCTAACCTTTTCGACACATCCATCGAAGAACTCGAGGCTGGATTGGCGGTCACTGACAAAGGAGCATTCCTCGATGAACTGGGTAAAGAGCTGCGTCTTAGTCAGTAACGTGTAGAATTTCTGGTTGGTTCGATCACGGCTTTTCAGGAACCCTGAGGGGCAGAGAGACTGTAGGCTTTAAACCAGCAGCTTACTGAGCTGGACCACCCCCCCACCCCTTCATCACCAGTGCAGCCGGCCTGTCAGAACTCCCAATGGACACAGTGCGCTAACCCAACCCGGCATCTACCAGTCCCATCCTGGCCCCCTCCACAATGGTTCAACGAGGAGCAGGTCATGCCTCCTTCCAGCCCCAGTCAAGGGGAATGGCAGTGACGTAGAGGGAATGTCACCGGGCTAATGCTCTGGGGGACACAGCTTCCAAATCCCAATGTGGCCCCTAGTGGAATGTGAGTTTAATTAAACGTAGAGCTGACTTGGTCTATGACAGCAAATACTAATTGTACAGAAACCCACTTAGTTTACTCATGTCATTTCAGGGAAAATGAATCAGCTGTCCTTACCTGGTCTGGCCTTTAAGTGACTCCAGACCCACAGCTACGGGGTTAACTGTTAATTGCCCCCCTGAAAAGGCACAGCAGGATTCTCAGGTCAAGGGCAACTAGGGATGGGAAACAAATGCCAGCCTCAGCAGTGACACCTACATCCCATGAAAGAATAAAGACTGAGGCTTGGTGGATTTTAACTCTCTCACTTTAGTTTCAGAATTCACACTAACACAGTACCTTAGCCTGATGAGAGAGGGAATTCCAATAGAGAACTTCTCACAATAAGGTGCTTGTGAATTCAGCATCGCAGGAACTGAGCTGGTTACAATGAAGAGAGACAAAACAGCACAGTGTCTGAGCTCTGGGAGCTGGGATTGTACAGTCAGCACATCCGGTGCGACAGCGGAGTGTGTCAAAGCGACCAGACAGCTCCAGAACCTGCCCCAGTTTACACAGAGTGCTTACCCTGCAGGTTGAAGAGGGAACTCAGGTCAGTGGTGGTCTCTGATGGTGCTTGGGTGATGGGCATCAGGTAGGAGCGATAGCCTTTCAGAGTGCAGGCCATAAAGCGCAGGAAAGCCTCCTGTATCTCCAGCTCCAGCTGCTTCCTACGCCCATAGATCAAATCGTAGTCAGTCAAGAGAAACTCCAGTGTGGCCTCTTCTGCTGGCTTGTTGTACACTGGAGAGAGAGGCAGCAGCAGGTTAAACAGTCTCAGATAGGATGAACAGCCATCAGCAACATCCTATACAGAACTAGAGGCCTACAGAGTCTCACATTCAGGCACACACTCAATAATGTACCAACTACATCGCACTCCCTCTGCCCCGCTTCAGCCTGACCCTATGGGGTCCCTACTGACAGTTTCTAGTCCCTCAGTGCTGACCCTCCGACAGTGCAGTGCTTCCTCAGCTGTGACCCTCAGGCACACTCAGCACTGACCCTCCGACAGTGCGGCGCTCCCTCTACGCTGACCCTCCGACAGTGCTTGCTCCCTCAGCACCGACCCTCTGTCAGTGCCTACTCCCTCAGCACTGACTCTGTGACAGCTTCCATTCCCTCAGCATTGACAGTGCAGCGCTCCCTCAGCACTGACCCTCCAACAGCGCCCGCTCCCTCAGCGCTGACCCTCTGACAGGTGTTGAGGGAAAGAACATTTCCCTGAGAGTGTGAGGGTTTGTGGGGAGAGGACTGTAGCCCCAAGTGTAAGATGTGGTGTAAGGAGTCAAAGAAAGTGATTGAATCAGGAATTTTAAAGTTGTGTCTGAGGGATGGGGAGCTCACTCTGTACACTGGGGGTGTAGTGAAAGCCTGTTGGAGTTTTGTGACTGGACAGGGTCCATTAGTGACCTGCACTCACGTTCATCCAGCTGCTGGTATAACAGGTTCAAGGAATTCAGGAGCACCTTGCAAGGTTTCCGAGGTAATGCCCGCAGTGTTAAACTCTTTTTATTTTCATTCCTGAAACACAGAGATGGAGGGATACAGATCCGATCATAGTGACAAACACGTGCTCATTGGTATTGGGATTGGCAAACACAGTCACTAGAAAAATAGACCTCAACCCCATTAGAATCACAAATTAGAATTATTGATCTGACAGTGATCACTGCTCCACCCACAATAATCAATACTGATCACCGCTCCCCCTCAATAATCAATACTGATCACCGCTCCCCCTCAATAATCAATACTGATCGCCGCTCCCCCTCAATAATCAATACTGATCGCCGCTCCCCCTCAGACACCTCCCTCAATAATCAATACTGATTGCCGCTCCCCCTCAGACACCCCCCCCCATCAACAATCAATATGGATCACCGACCCCCCTCAGACCCCCTCCTGCAGTAATCAATACTGATCACCATTCCCCCTCAGAACCCCCCACAGTAATCAATATGGATCACCAATCCTCCTCAGACCCCCCCTGGCAGTAATCAATATGGATCACTGATCCCCTGAGACCCCCTCCCACTATAATCAATATGGATCACTGATCCCCCTCAGA